TTGCTGGGACTTCCCACTAGCTGTCAGCCAACGCCATTACCGGGGAAATCATTTTCCAGGGGTGACTGATTTGAGGTCAATACCCATTTTCACCTTGCGAACTGGCTGCAGAACCCGCTGCACATTCTGCAATCGTCGGCTGTTGCGGACTAGAGGTGCCACATTTAAGTCCACAGACCCGCAGAGCGCAAGTAAAACGGGCTGAAAAGTGGCACCTCTGGTCCGCGCTAGCTGAAGCTGGCAGAACCCACATAGGATTCTGTGATCGTCAGGCAGCGCAGCGTAGAGAAGAAGGAGAAACGGGGGCTAGTTGGTACATGGAGTAGTATGGGATGGTTTTCACAGTGCCACTTCGCCATTGGTAGTTAGGACATAATTCAGTCAGAGGGTTTTGTTTATGTTAATGTTAGTTCTCCACATAAGTAGCGTCCATGAGCGTGGCAAAGGTGGATCAGGAAGGTGGGTGTTATTATGTATGCGTGTGTGTGTGTGTGTGTGTGTGTGTGTGTGTGTGTGTGTGTGTGTGTGTGTGTGTGTGGTGTGTGTGTGTGTGTGTGTGTGTGTGTGTGTGTGTGTGTGTGTGTGTGTTTTCATATGCTTGGTTTATGGGCACATAACACTGTAACACACCTGGGATGCAGGAATATTTCGGTTTGTGGGCACATGCTGTGTACTCACAAACTGAGTTGCACCACCACAAGGCCTAGGGCGCGGGACCTGGGCATAGAGGAGTCGCTGAGACTTGTACCGTGCGATGATCGTTCTGCACTAATGTTGTTTTCAAGTATATTCACACCGTCCAGATCTTCCTATTCCAGCAGCACCGGTGTATCAGAAGGCAGGTGGGGGTGGCAAAACATTGTTTTTATGATATTGCGACGAGTAAGGTAAGGTAGATTTGCCTGGTCTTTGTCAAACTATGTTCTATAAGACCATCTTGAAGATAGAGCTCATTGTCTCGTGTGCCTTCGCACCTTGTAAATTGTATCGTTTTTTCTAGGGCTGGCATGTTTGCCTAATCTGATGCTGGTGGGAGAGATGGGATACAGCGCGTCCCACTTCTCCCTCCAGTGTTTCACCTCTCTCAATGTGTCTCTGTTCATGATTATTACTTTATTTTGCTTGGGAGCCTGCTCTCCCACGCCAGGGACGTGACCATTGCCTTCAAGTCATCAAGCATTGCATGAAGCACACCGGAGCATCAATAGAGAACCCATCCAGAGCCATCATAAGCAACTAAGAAAGTCGCCTTTCTGTGCCCGCCTTGGGCGAGGCCCCAAAAAATGGCGTGCACATTCTAACGATGCCACCTCACACATACCACAACTTCCAGCCACTGGACAGGACGGTGCCCCACGCCTTAAAAGCTGACCTGGACAGAACCAGAACTTAACCGAACCGAACGAAGCCCTGATCACGGTCTTCAATTCGGTGACGGCGTAATGGTGTTATCTAACCCAGGGAAAACTGTGCCACTGCATTAGAAGGTTGAAAGATCGAGTATCGCTGAACGCGGCAACCCCACAGCACGTCACATCCGGATCCAAGCGGCAGCTTCCCAGCCGGACATCTCAGCAGCGACCTCCCAGCCGGACATCTCAGCGGCGGTCTCCCAGCCGGACATCTCAGCGGCGGCCTCCCAGCCAGACATCTCAGCGGCAGTCTCCCAGCCGGACATCTCAGCGGCGGTCTCCCAGCCGGACATCTCAGCGACGGCCTCCCAGCCGGACATCTCAGCGGCGGTCTCTCAGTCGGACATCTCAGCGGCGGCCTCCCAGCCGGACATCTCAGCGACGGCCTCTCAGCCGGACATCTCAGCAACGGCCTCCCAGCCGGACATCTCAGCGGCGACCTCCCAGCCGGACATTTCAGCGGCAGCCTCCCAGCCAGACATCTCAGCGGCGGCCTCCCAGCCAGACATCTCAGCGGCGGTCTCCCAGCCGAACATCTCAGCGGCGGCCTCCCAGCCAGACATCTCAGCGGCGGTCCCCCAGTCGGACATCTCAGCGGTGGTCTTCCAGCCGGATATATCAGCGGTGGTCTCCCAGCCGGACATCTCAGCGGCGACCTCCCAGTCAGACATCTCAGTGACGACCTCCCAGCCGGACATCTCAGCGACGGCCTCCCAGCCAGACATCTCAGCGGCGACCTCCCAGCCGGACATCTCAGTGACGGCTTCTCAGCCGGACATCTTAGCGGCGGCCCCCCAGGCGGGTACACCTGGACATTTCGTCTTCTGGACTTCTCAGTCGTGACCAGACTTTACACAAAGTTTCACTAAAAAAGACCCTGTCAGGGTGCGTAGAAGCCTGGAAACGTCGGGAGCGTGCTCGGGGCCTCCGCCGCTCGGGGGCTGCTCCCAGGAGAGGTGCGGGAGGGACGTCACAGGCGCTGGAGGCACCTATAGATGGCAGCTGTCGGATGTCGAAGGCGCCGCGTCGCCAGACTTGGCGCAAACTACACCTGTCCTGTCGAGACAGGACAGAGAGACGCCCGGCGAGCGAAACATCTGTGTGAGAACTACACAGTCCCCTAAAGTCATGTCCTGGAACGCTTGTCTCTTTGTTTGTGGATAGGTCAGCAGCTGTCGGTGCCCCCGCTGAACAGTTTTCCATCTGGGTGGCGGCTACATCTCAGTAAGAACGGACCTAGTGGTTTTCATTAGACTACTTTCAGTCCCACGGTAAGTTGGCCCACTGTTTACCGTGATTGTCAAGATTTCCGTTTCGTTTACGTTCTTGTCCGTTTCGAAAACGCTCACGAGCGAAACCGCGCTGGGTGGCCTCCAAAGCAGTTAGAGCACTTAATGATACCGGACCCACAGGTCTTGTTTCGTGCCTGACCTCTGCGCATATCCCGCACGTTATCTGTTTCCGACATTTTTCGGTCGGTGAAGGGTTCAAACGAATGGCACTTGAAGCACCGCCCCGCATCTGGCGCGTAGAAGCGGACAGCGTATGACGGAGGGTCGATTTGCACCCCCTCTGGTAACAAAGCTGTCGAATGTGAGGACGATGACACCCGTAGGCGTCAAATCCCCACCTACCCTTTTCAAATTGTGTTTTGCGTTCGCCAAACTCTCTCTCGTCGTGCCTTCGACGATGTCTTCCTCGCTAATATCCCGCAGATCCCAGTAGTTGATGATCCTCTGCACAGAATTCTTTCAGGGATGCTGTTTCGCCTCTATCGTCACGGACTGTATACCCCGTCCGCGAACTCGACAACTGAACTCCTTGACACCAGACTTTTTCCGATTTTGCTCTAGCTTCATCAAGGGCGTGATTTCGGAAACCATTATCTCGATACCTCAACACGTTTTTGGGAATTCAAAACCTGGACAGAGCCTGCTGAACCTCGAACGGATTCAGTTTCAATGGCAAAGACCTGCCCCCTCCGTCAAGGTTCGAAGAGTAAATGACCATACAGCGAATCCTTCGCGCGGGTGGGCGATCTGACTGCCTGTGCCTTCCCGCCCCCCCCCCCCCCCCCCCGGACTAGGGAGCACTACGGGAACCATCAGGTTTTCAACTGGACCCAGCGGATGGAGTCATTTTAATCCGTCATTTACTGAGGGTTGGCGTAGGCGTGGTCGGAATAGTTTGTGGTCCATCCATGGCTGTCAAATAGAAGTTTGTTGTTTTGATGCGCCCGTTCCCCGACCACCAACGAGCCCAATAAGCGAACGGCACGGTGAACATTGCTATGCTGCCAGGGCTACGGATGCGCTACACCCGGGCCAGAACGCCAAAAAATACTGCTGCGGAGCCACCGGGTGCGAGTCTACAGGAGCCATTTCCCTGACCGACGAAGGGCTGACCAGACATCTTTTCGGCTTCAGCCAGGGCATGACCCCACGGCCGTGACATGGGGCAGATACTGCATCCGGCGACTCCCCCTCCGGCTCCGGCGACGACCTGTCGCCTGAGCCGCCTGACGCCGGGCCAGTGCCGCACAAGCACGGTGCCTGTCAAGCCGGCTGCGTGCAGAGTCGGAACGGGCACTTACAGGTAGGAAAATTCAGGTCAAAGATGAGTGTTGGTGGACGCCAAGCTTGACCCGCAAGGTGACTACCTCGGCACCCAAGACCCTTTCATCATTCCTGTGGGGACAACGTGGCACGGCAACCCTAATAAAACTTAAAGCTGCGGTCCAGGTGTTGTTTATCACCTCCCCCCCTCCCCCCCCTGGCCGGAATCGGGGTCCGTGCAGTGGGCATTTCTAGCTTGGCTACTCTCTTCTGGCCGTAAGAGGCGCCTTGCGAGCCTCCCTCAACACCCGCAGGATCATTGAAGCACTCGGTACCACCACAACAGAAAGATGGTGCCTCACGAGGAGATACCCTTAGGTGGCACAGAAACAAATTAGGTTTGCACAGAAACAAATCACGATGACCCAAACAGATCAGGAAAAGATTACCGAAAGAGATTCGGGTCAGACTACGGGGAGGGGGAGATCCATGCGATGACCTTCAGTGCCTTGCCCTCTCCTTGCCTGCGCCATTGATCACGAGCGTAGGGTATCACACTTTTGGGGTGTGATGACCTGAATTAGTCGTGATTTCTGGTTTCTGAGGGTTCTTATGGTCGTATCATATAGATCTTGTGGGCATCTGTGGTCTTTATTTCTGTCCGAAAACTGTCCAATGTTTTTCGGTATTCCTTTCATTTGGAGAAGCTTCTAGAAAACTTTGGTGAATAAGGCACTCCTACGACGACTTACTTTTAACGATTGCATGAACTAAGAAGAGCGGGTGGCGGAGGTGGTTTCGCTGGTGGGTTGGGGGTGCTCAAACCCGTTCTTACACATTGGTCTCTTTGTGACATGATCACTTTGGATCTTGGGACGGGTAGAATTCCTGCGCAGTCTGAAGTGGACACCGACGTATAATTGGTCGTGTGTTTGCTGCCCATAGCTGTACCATAATCAATTTGCAAGCCCTGCGTAGATGTGGTACAGGTGTTGCGAGTGCGTGGTTGGGGTGAAGTTGGTGCCAGGACGCCCATGAGCAGTTCTTAGTTTCAGAGTACTGTTATTTTGTGTATGATAAGATGAGTAGTATAGTTGTGTCTAGATGAATATTTTTATGTCATCTTATAAGAGCATATTGCACCTTTATTGTTTTTATAGGGAAACAGTTAATCATGCTTTTGTTACATCCAAGCTACCCTGAATTTAACAGTATTGGCTGCATGGCAAGGGTGGGATGTATGTTTCCTTTTCCTGAGTTGATGAAAACAAGATAAATTAAATGAGTTAAAAACTCAATATGTCCTTATATCCACTAGCAGTTTGGCATACCTATGTGGAATTACATTTTATTGATGACATTACATTTTGTATTAAGTTTAAATTAAAATTGTGAACACATCAGTTATGTAAATCCAGCAACCAAAGTCAAGCCACAGACCCCAATCCATAATCCAGTGTTTTCAGGGTGCTGGTAGTGTAGTGGCTTAGCTGCATGTCTGGAAAGCCAGGAGTGCAGGTTTGGTTGCTAGCAGCTCCCACCTTTCTTGCCAGGGGGAGAGGCAGGCAAGGCCATATGGCCTTAGTAGTTGAGAGGAGTTGTTAAAACCCAGAGACTCACTCACAATTTGTTATTTTGCACACATGTGCAAGTTGCAACTCACTCAGAAACTAATATACCTCCCACATGGTGCAGTGGTGTAGCCAAGGAGAGCACATTTGGTCCCAAATCTCCTATGGCCTAGAGATGAAGGGAGCCTCCGGGAATGAGGCCTGTGGTGCGTGCTGGCATTGTGAAACACCCGAAGAGCTTTTACATAAAAACAGGTCATGGAGACATCAAAATAGCATGCCTAGTCTAGAAGTTTTATCCAAATCATTCTAAAAAATAAAGTCACTGTACCAATGAAGGGATTTTGCTGAATGAATTGGTGCCCTGTCCGAAGCTGGCCCTCCTCAGGTTGACGTCCTGGTTATGTTGCTCACATCTGCATCAGACCTGCATCACATCTGAATTGTTACCAAGCATGAACCATGTCAATGGGTGCACAGATTCAGCTGTTGATTGATCATTGGTTAAGGATGACACAGACATGCAGCAGATAAAGATATGACTGGGAGCAAGCAATACAGCATCATTCATCTCAAACCCGTCAAAGTATCCAAAATTCTGGCATTGTATCATGGACACTTGTATGCTGATTCAGGATGCAGCATATTGCATTGCCACATCATTTCTAGTTGCAAACTGTTTGTAGAAGCAGCGCATTGCCCTGAACTTCTCACCGGAAATTTGTTTGAAGTCTTGGGGTGTGTGAACTTTTGAAATTGTAGGCAGTACAGCGGTAATAGAAATGACAGATTGAGCTGTGCGTTCAAACATAATTGTAGCAGTTACGGTGAAAAGAGTTATAGTAGTACAAGCAAGAGTGGTTATGCCATTGTGACATGAAATTGTGGTGCTGTATATTGTAATGTGTTTCAATATCAGTCAGAAAATTGACAGGTGAAACCTAGGGCCTGAGATGCTCTCTACATGTATGCAACTTATTACAACTTGATCTTTTGATGCATTAGAAAGTATTGCTTAATCAGAGATAGCCATTTTTGTTAAGTCACTTAATTCCTGCACTGTTGGAATTTTTTGTTTCTAAATGCATGGTGACTCATATTTTCTGATAGCTTTTTGCTCATCTTGCAGTCAAAGAAGCTCAACATAAAACTTAAATAAAGTTGACATCTTGAATAAAGTCAGTGAAATTCACTGGGCCAGTCTGTCACAAGAAAGTTTACTGCTAAGAAAATAATGATCTGAAAACAAAGCTGTCAAAAGCTGCAGAGTTTTTGTGAACTGGGAGGGGGGGGGGGGCACACCCAGTTCCAGAAGGCACCACCATGAAGTATCCCGCCCTTGCCAAAACACTGGACCTGCCCCTGGTATCAAGAAAGGATTGCTCTTCACTTATTTGACCAACTCTTGATGTAATATGCTGAATCTTAGATGACAGTAGGTTGGGCATTGTTTTCAGATGTCAGATGACAGGTGTCAGTTAATGACAAGGCCCATTAGCAGGTTTAGGTGTGTTAGTATGCACATGAAAATTTTCAAAATGTTTTGTTTGTTGTTTGGCAGGTTTTGTACCCATAACGCAGCATGCTCTACTGAAAGTGAACACATCACACCCCAGATAAATGCTTGGCTTTATGCCTGCCAGGCCCAAGTAGAAAGCATTAGTAAAAAAAATTGCTAGCAAAAACTCCGCACAGTATTTCCATGTTACCTCCTTTGATGGTCATAATGATGAAATGAAATGGTTCCCAAGTGCCGATTCTGTGCCATTATGTCCCATGTGCATATTGTGGTGTAGAGATCAGATTGTTGTGCCTGTAACTACACAATGTGAGTCTGCAGTCTGGTGCTGTGAATAGAATGCATAAAATTTTGGCCATATGGCAAAGTGAGCTTGTACTTAGGTCATACTGCTGCTGATACACATTGAGAGAATAAAGATACATGTTGATAGTAAACTATTTGGAAATGGTACACCATATTTTTAAGCCACTTATTCCCAGACATGGCTGCAATGAGATAAAATAACTGAGGAGCACTCTTGAGTAGGGCATATATTTGTCAGACATGACTGCATGCCTTGACTAGATGATGCACATTTGCCTATAGCAAAGAAGGTTTCCTAGTTTCCTTGTGGCGGCCCATTGGATGGGTAAATAAGGTGGTCCCCACCCCCAAAGGGTGTGTTGCTCTGCTGGCTTTTTTTAATAGCATGCAGTATTTACTAGTCATCAGCATATGTAATTTGATCAATCAAGCTTCCAGCAGGTGTAGGCACTCTATAGTTGCGTCAGTTGCATACTTCTCATGTAATATGATGCCATTCCATGCTGTACCTCAATTACAGCAAATTTAAAATGAGTGGTCACTGAGGCAGCAGCAAAGCAGTTTGTAGCATCCAACTGAATGATGTTTTCTGGCCATATGGATGGGGTGTGTGCTTGAGATGCTCACCATGATCTTCATGTTTCAGGCTCTACATGCTGCAGTCATGACACCTGTCGATGACATTAAATACCTCATCAACTCTGTCATACTGGGGGAGGAGCCGGTGAGAGCCTGCGTGGGCCTGTCAGTCAGCTTCAGTGATAGTGTGATAGTGTGATTCGGTGAAGTGATTGTCCACTTCAAAGGGATATTTTGTGCAATGGGCTGTTAGGCATGAGATGTGCTCTGCATAAAGGCAACTGTCAGTTGGCCCGACTGTAGATGGAAGAGGGAAGGCTGGAGATGTTTCACGCATGTCATGTCCACCGCTGTAGGCCTGAGCATGATGGGTCAGAGCGCCTGCCTCCGGATCTACCCGTGGTAGGGTGATTGAGCCGGAATTGCTTCGTCGCTCATTGTTTGCCTCTGACTGAGATGGCCTGCGGCCGGTGGCACGGCCGCTCAAGGTCAGATGAGGTCAAGTGGCGGGGTGGATCATGCCGGGGATTGCAGTGGAAATTGTTGAACTGGAATTTCAGGATCAGATGGGGATCCGAGTTCACAGACCAAGCCATCCTTAGTGTGGACTCCGGCTCCAGATATACATTCAATCAGAATGTTCGGATTTAAGTTAATAAAGCATGCCTTCTCTCATATTTTACGGCGTGCTCGGCGACATGCCTACATTGTGCCTGACGCCGATTGAGTCATGACTTCCTAAAGCTCAGTTGGAAGTGTGCCATAAATGGGGCATTTTGGTGGCCATGAGGGCTGGGGTGACCCGAAACAGTGCTGATGTGACCTGTCAATGGTGATCGCTGGGCCGAGCCGTCCCTTGACCGAGACAGCCAGCCTGGCGCGGGATGACTGCCGGCTGTAGGCATGTTGCGAGGCACGGTGGGTTTCTGTTTTCTGAAGCAAAATATCAGTTTATGTGGGATCGCTCTTTTGTCGATTCGATTGAAGTGCACGAGTCTTCCAAACAGGCTATGCTCAGGGAAGGCTGACGGAGGCGTCCCCGCAAATCGCTCATTCCGGTTTAGAAAAGCACCGCACTGGTCGAGCGGTGCACCGTCATCATGTGGCAGCCGTACCGGCCCGCCCTCGCTCTGTCGGCGATGGTGCACGCCGCGGGAGTGTGCGGTGCGGTGTCGCCCTTGAGCCGCGCCTGACCCGGCCCGCCCTCTCCCGGCAGTCGGTGGAGGACTTCATCCTGTTCATCGGCACGCTGGTGGCGTTCATCGCCTTCATCCTGTGGTGCTGCTTCCCGGTCATACCCAAGGACTCGCAGCCCAATGCTGACAGCCAGTACCGGCACTACAAGAAGACGGACGCCAACGCCATGTACAAGGAGCTGCAGCGCAGCTAGCGCGCAGTTGCCGCCGGCGTCAATAGATGGCAGCACGAGTGGACCGCTAGGCGGCTTTGGGGAGCGAGCTCTCAGCTGAGCTCGAGTTCCCCGCAAAGCCGTGACTCTCGCGTCTGATATCAGTGTTTTGAAGGTGGGTTCTGCTTGCATTTTGTTATTACTCTGGTACAGCGCGCTCTGTGTGGCCGGGGCGCCCTGTCGGCTTCGGTCGGGGAGCTAGCTCCGATTGGAGCAGATCATGTGCACGACGCCTTTTCGCGTTTTATCAGCTGACGAGCGGGTGGCTTCTGCGGCCCGCGCTCAGACTGCGCACACCAGTGAGATGGCGCTGTAGGCGCCGCGCAGCTCCCGGCGACCCGCCTTTTCGGGATGCGTCCTGCGGCCGGGGCGGGCCATTGGCGCGTTCGCCGGCGGTGCCTGCGGTCCGCTGTGGGCGGCACCGCGACTCCCCGCCGCGTGCCACGCAGCGGGCGACGGTGACCGGGGGGCGAGCTGGACATTCCGTCGTCGGACCTCGTGGCGAAGTGGCCCTGCGCTTGGCCTCATACTGCCGGCGTCAGCACGCTGCGGATGCTCCCTGGGTGTTGTTCTTCGGTTCGGCAGCAGTCTGTCCCCGTGGAGTTCTCTGTGGCGAGCATTGAGGGATGGGCCGTGATCTACTCCCGCATCGGTATTTTGTAATCGCGTCACTGATCCACCGTCCCTGGGAGGTTCCCCTTTATGTTATCCTGTCTTTCCTTATGTCGTCCGCGCGCGATGACTGCCCATGTGCCGAACCGTGACGTAACCCGTGCAGGTGTGTAACCGTGACCTCTCGCGACCTGGGCATTGCAAACATTCCCCTGGACTGGCCGTTGTTTAAGCGTCCCCTTTTCTCCCTCCACGTCGATGCCGTCGGGTGCTGTAAGGGTCAGGGGGGAGGGGGTTGCAGGCGCTACTGGAACGCAGTTTCTTTCCGTGCGGCCGCGTGTGGTCAACGCTAATTTGTCGGAGATCGAGAGGGAGAGATGCTGCCTTCTCACAGGCTGCGCGTCTAACGCTGCCCATGCTCCATTCCGGTGACCCTCTGGTTGACGCGACGCTCGCTGATTAGGTGTACAGCGCGCGTGTCGCCCGGGTTCTCGTCCGATCCAGGCCCCTCCTCCATTTACCATATTTATATTAACTGTGATACGCCCGTTCACTAATACCTGGGAAGGTTATGCAGTGTGGGCTTTCTCTGGCGTGTGTATGTGCGTGTTTGTGTAGGGAGGGGATTTTGTGATTTTATGAACTTGGCGTACATACACTTGATGGAGCGATGCGAGTTTTCTTTCAGCATTGGTACGTGGTTGCACAGAGTAAGATGGTGCACATTAAACGTACTCGTGCGTGGCATTGCTGTTGATATGCATTACGAGAAGATTTCCTGTCTCCGTGTTTCGGTCATGATGTTTTGGTTGGGGTGCTGGAACAAGAAACTGACAAAGCTCGCCGCTCGGTTCGCAGCTGAAGTCAACAAATTTAACTTCGATTCCTCCCACGGCGAAGCGAACACGAGAGCGCAGCCAGCGGGCGACCCCATACTGAGCGGCATGTGGAAGGAGAACCATAACCATAGGAGGAAAGCAGTGATCGAGTGTGTCTCTTGGAGGGGGGCGGAGGGCGCGGTACCAGTCTCACCAATTTTTTTAATTAAAATTAGCATCTGTGTAACCTCGTGTCATTCGAGGATGACCTTTCCAACGGTGAACAGTTACGTTAAACAGCGTTGCTTAGCAGCTAATGGTTCCTTGGTAACGCTGTGTGATCGGTAGGCCCGCAGAATATTGAAGGCAGGCTGTTCTCAACACGGTAGCTCACATTGCCGAAACGCCAGGGTCTGGCGGTCTGTTCTGCCCGCATTAAGGCATGAAGTTGCTCGTCCTGGCAGCATCGTCTCGCTAATGTGTCATGCTCTCCAACGTTGCTAGTGGTTACGGCATTTTGAGTTCAAGGTAACTGTCGGCTGTGCTTCCGACGCTCGTATCTCAATATGCGTGAGAGTAGGGACGTGGTGAAGCCCATCCCCCCCCCCCCCTCCGCCTTTCAGCCGAGGGATTACATCAAGTATGCGGGTTTGCAGAATTTGGGAGATTTTGCCCGCTCCCGCCCCGCTGGGAAAATGTTGGCCGCATGTCTACGTGAGAGGCTGTGAAGATGGTGGTCCGTGTGCCGGCTAGTTGATCAGTCCCCCTAGGCGCAAGCTCGGCTTGGAAAGTCGGATGTCGTATCGGTCCCCAATGTCACCACTTAGTTGGCGGGTAGGCGGTGCGGTGGTGTGGAAGCAGGCACGTAGTCAAAACTTTTACTCAGCGGGGCCAACTGTCAAATTTTCTCTAAAGTTTTGCGAATTTGGATCACATTCGAGCAAAATCGTACAGCATCTAGTGCTCGTACAGGTCTTGGCTCTGGGCGGCCACGGCCCCCTTGACCATCCGCCCCCCCCCCCTTGGCTATATGTCTGCGTTAAAGTTGAAAGGGTCGTTAGAACGGCTGGCGTTCGCCTTCCGGTGTGTTCGTTCAGCTGTGCACCGAGTCCAAGGGCGAATTGGCATTCCTTGTTGGCATTTAGAATTTTGGTTGGGGACGCGAGAAGCTAGCTCCTCGCATCACCTGGATGACGGCAAGCGAGACGGTGTTATTTAACCGACCATCTAAACAGCTGCCGCTTTCAGAGCGTCGACATAGGTATAACCTGCAGGCACCTACACGAGTCGACCTTCGCCTTGTTAGGACGCACAAAATATGTTAACAACAAATTACGCTGCTGGCACTTCTAGAAAAAAATTAAAGGGATAACTGCCACTAACACGCTACGGGTGGATGGGTCGGAAAAAATGCGAAACAAGCACTGACGAGGCTCCTGAGCGTCACTAGAGACATCAGGCGGAATTTTCTGTGACCATAGTTTGGTTGCAATTCCTAGATGGCGGTTGAGGTTACCTCAGGAACCAAATGTCTGGGATACACCTTGAGCTGGTGCTCTCTGGTTCGACGTGGCGGAGCTTGATCATGACCAGGGGGAGGCCACTACCGTGTCAAAGAACAGGCTTCTGTAATCTTTGAATTGTTGGTTGTCGAGAGACGTGGCGCATGGCAGGATACCTTAGCTAGCAATTCTAAAATGGCCAGGAGCCCGAGTAATTTGGATCGTTGTGAATTGTGACGCAGAAAAGGCGTCCGACAAGGCCGATCTGAGGTGCCCCGGCCGCGAATCGATTTGTCATCTGGATCGTAACACAAGATCATGCATGATAGGAAACGCTAATGGGTTGGGCTCCGACACGTTTACAACGTTTACAAAACGTTGTAGACAGTTTACGTGTTCAACAACTTTAGGAGAAACACAGGGTTGTCAGTTTCGGTGGCGGTTTGAGGGGCTCAGCCGAATAGATTGACCTAACCTAACCCATAAGCCTGATTTCTCGCCGGATTTCAACTAATTGAATTGGCGTCTTTGATGCTCAGATTTCATCAGATTTTATTTAGAAAAGCTTAGAATAGGATATAAATCACAGCAAACATCTCAGTATGTCCGCTGATGACTACCGTTGCCGCTGATTGTTTTGCCGCAATTGATAACCGCAAAAGTCACGATCATGCGAGAAATATACCCGCCACTATAGGAGAAAAGATGCCTTAGGGTTTATCTGGGTCGCCCTGCCGTTTTCAAATCTGCCACATATTGCAGTCAATAATTATTTATCCCAATTCTGGTGTAATCTGAAAAACTTGTCAGGCCTTTGCAGACTGGCTTAACGTATGAACGAGATGGAATGGCAGAAAACATAAGGAAGGGCAGGACCTGCCTGCAGGATATCATTTGACACAAAATCAACTTGATATTAATGGTGATGTGCTCAGGTACATACTACTTACTGTACCAAAAGTTAAGCTGATTGTTCTGCCTCTCTTTTGCCAATTATTCACGCTTTACTGGTATGCGCTGAGGGGCTCAGAGGAACACTGGGGTTGGGGGCTCACTTCAGCATTGCGGGGCCGAATTTAGCAATGAGTAGGGGGGGGAGCTGAGCAGCCCTCCCCCCTCCGCAAGCGTACCGTTATATCCCAGAGGCATATAACGACGCCTCTGGAAAAACATTTGATCAGCTAATGTAACCGACCACAATAACATAATTAGAGGGAACTCCTAGATCGATGACGCAGTTTGCGATTTTCAGAGAGCACCGAAGAGCATCAAAGGATTCCCTGGATTCCGAATAGACGGATTTTCCTATCAAGCCAGGCAACGCTCGATCGTACTAGCCGTCATCATTTCAGTCGATCTCTCCATGGCATCTCTCAGAAGTTCAACATCAGACAATGGACGCATGTGAGGGGGATCCACCGCGCACGCGTGACTATTCCGGCACGTCGTGAACAGACAAAACATTAAGCAAAAGGGTATTGACGAATCCTAGAGATACGCGCGTGCAAACTAAAGACATGCGTAAATCCTGAGCGAATCGGATTGCATGAACACACATTCCGTGCACGATCTCAGTTGTCGCAGGATCCTGTCGCATGTGGCGCATTACAGCCCGTCCGAGGGCAAGGAACTAGGAGCTGCCTCAGGCCCCGGCGGCAGCACAGTGTACCAGCGCCGCCGACCGGCGACGGGCAGCGTCTCTCCCATCTAGATTCGCGATCTCCGTGACGTGGAGGTGCCGTCCTGCCCCGTATTTCGCTCGCGAGTTTCCAACACCATCAAAAGCTCGCGGACGAGCCCTCGGACTCGTCGAGACGAAGCAGTGTGTGCGTCAGCAGGAGGGTAGTGCTGGTGCCCCAGCCCTCCAGCGGTGGCGCCAGCCTGAGGTTGTGATGGTGCCCCCCCCCGCGCCCTCCTGCGGTGCGCCAAGCATGAGGGTGTGATGGTGGGCCCAGCCCTCCAGCGGTGCGCCCAGCATGAGGGGATGATGGTGCCCCAGCCCTCCGCGGGTGGCGCCAGCAATGAAGGTGTGATGGCGCCCAGCCCTCCACGGTGCGCCAGCATGAAGGGTGTGATGGCGCCCAGCCCTCCAGCGGTGCGCCATCATGAGGGTGGGAATGGCGCCTCATGAGGGTGTGATGGCGCCCCAGCCCCCCAGCAGTGCTCCAGCATGAGGGTGTGATGGTGCCCCAGCCCTCCAGCGGTGCCCAGCCGGAGTTCTCCAGCAGCTCCGTCACATGGTAAACCTTTTTGCGGCCGAATTGACTTTGACTGTGTAGGTAATCAATTTTGTGGACTGGATTAACTCTGTTGGTTACCATTGCCCAGGTGCCTTCACAGCTCAGGTCACTGCATCTCCTGCAGTAACCGAGCTGTGAACAGTCCTGGGAGTTAACCAACGTGTAGATCACAGAAGAAGACAATGATATTTAGATATGACAGACGA